CTATTACCGCCGTTTCCATCGAACGGGAACGTTTAACGGCGGGCATAGTGAACGTTGGCAACACTGCAGTCAGGTAGATAGTTTGGCTTATTTGAGGTGGAGTGGTAAAGACGTCACTGCTACGTCACAATTCACATTGAGCATGGGCAAACTTGAAAATATTCGACCAGAGGGGCCGGGTTTAGGTAAGATCAGATGTTTTTATAAAAAAAAAGACCAAGTCCAGAACTTAAAAAAACATAGATGCTACTGTGCTGAAAACTGGATCTTACTAAAGTTATCTGCACAGACTGGGATTAGTAGACTCGCTGAATTCGTCAGAAATACGACTTTTAAGGAGCAGTCTCTTACAGCCTTTGTTGACACCCGCGGCACCCTTGCACCTCCCCGACGTTACCCCAATCGGATTTAGTGCCGTTAATGCTTACTCGCTGTTTCCTGTCCTGTAACCACGCCCTAATCTACTATATAATATCTCCTCCAAAGCCCCGAGACTCCACTCTTTGTATTAGTCTTTCGTGGAAGATTTTGTCGAAAGCTTTGCTAAAGTCGAGGTATACCATATCATAATAGTGCCTGTCGTCCACCGATTCGGAAACGGTTGAAACTGTTAATAGATTAGTCAGACATGAACGCCTACTTGTGAAGCCATGTTGGGAATCATTGATCAACTCGTGGTTCTCCAGGTGATTTCGAATAGAGTTTGAAATGATTGCTTCCTGCAATTTGCCTCCAATTGATGTTAAACTGATTGGACGGTAGTTAAGGGATAGTGATCTACCTCCCTTCTTGAAAATAGGTATCACATTCTCTATCCTCAAGGATTCTGGTACTTCACACATTTTTAATGACATGTTACACAAATTTTCTAAGGGCACCCTAAGCTCTTCCTTACATTCCTTTAATACTCTGGCAAATATCTCATCTGGACCTGGCGACTTATTAGACTTTAGTTTGTCTATATGCTTACTAATATCGTTCCTAGTCACTACTATCTCGCTTAATCTATTTTCTTCACTATCATGTTTAAATTTTCTGTGGTGAAAACTGTTATAAATAATTATTATCTCTTCAGATTATTGCTCATTTCTCCGTTGTTATCCGTTAGCTCACCGATATCGGACTGTATTTCTAGAGTATTGTCAGATACCCAAAGAATGTTCTATACTACTGAGGGTATACACAAACACTTGTTGTCTTAAAAGTAGGTTCTATTCACGTACGGGAGATATATATATACAGTAGGACGCAGAACCTCGCGTTCACGCCACGAGGACTCTGTCTTCTCTCTCTATCTATCTATGTATTACTACACGCTGGCCTGTACAGATGCCAGCATTCACAAGCTAAATACATAAAGTATAAATGATAATTTATATACATAATATGGTGCACAATAAATAGAATATTACATAGAATTAATACATATTCTGTAATACTTTACTATACATAATTAATGGAGTAATATAAGAGTAAAATAATAATATACAGCTGAAGGTACTACTTTGTATCCATATATATCATACAGTATTGGTTCAATCTTGTCCCGTGTTTTAGTTTGATACATTTGAAAGAATCCCTTGGGCTTGAATTTATCTCCCTTGCTACCTTCAGTTCGTTATTCGTCTTTGCTTTTCCTATCTCGGTCTTAACCCTACTGGCCAATGCCTTATAATAATCTCGGAGGTAAACTTCACCACGATTTATTCTCCTACCTATAGCCTTCCATTGTCTAATAATATTCTTTCCATATTTTTTTATCCATTTGGGGTCATTGTTACTTGATCTGAGTTTTCTGTATAGTATGTTCTGCCTTTGTGCATTAAGTAACTCATTATTAAAATTGTTGTGGAACTCATCAACCTCAGATTTCGTGATCAGGTCATCCTTAGTGCTCTGCTATCCTTTACTAATGACATCTTAAATTCCTTTGATGACAGTCAGTTCACAGTCGGTATATTCTTGGACTTCTCTAAAGCCTTCGATACTGTCGACCATACCATCCTCCTTTCAAAACTTGAACATTACTGCATTAGGAGACTGTCCCACAATTGGTTTATCTCATTGCTGTCCAACAGGATGCAGTATATCTGCTATAATAATCACCAATCTGACTCCTCGCCAATCTTGTATGGTTTCCCCCAAGGTTCCATTCACGGTCCAGTACTGTTTTTGTTGTTCATAAACGACATAGTCCACGCCAGCACACTCATAAAATACAACTTATATGCAGACGATAGTAATCTCTATGCCAGCAACTCAGACCTCCATTCCTATGAACACTGAATTGACTAAAGTCAGGACCTGGGTAATACGTAATAAACTGATGTTAAACCTTGAGAAAACCCACTACACGATCTTTCACAGAAGGAAAACTTACCCCCAGACTTGGACCTCCTGTACCTTGGTAATACAGTCCTCAAATGCGGACAAAATACTAAATTCCTCGGAGTTATTGTTGATGAGAAATTTAACTGGATAAACCACATACAAGCCATTCACAGTAAAGTCAATAAACAGTGTGGTATCATGTATCACATTCGACAGTCACTCACTCTCACAGCAATGAAAGAAAAATATCGTGATCTTGTTTACCAACACCTGATACACTGTCACACACTATGGGGGGCCTCTGGCTCTTCGAAAACACAGTCTCTGGTTACTGCAGAAAGAGAGTTGTTCGGACAATGACCTATTTGAAAAAAACGGATCACACAAACGAAAAATTTGCCAAATTGAAAATTTTAAAATTCGAAGACATTAACACCTACTGCTGTGCCCTCTTTGTTTACAAGTCTATCAATCACTTGCTTCACAATAGTTTTTTTTTTCAGTTCCGGAATAATCAGAGATACAACTTAAGGCACCCAGACCTACAAAGACCTCCCCCATGCGCTCCTGTCATTCCCAGACATCCATAAAATATCAGGGTGTGAAGGTGTGGAACAACTTACCCCTACCCATCCGGGCAAAGACTACGCTCCTTTCCTTTACATAATCTTTTAAAAATTATCTATTGTCTAAGTATTAATATTTCTTGGAATACCTACTATATTTACAGTACCTACTTTTATTGTACCATCAAAACCGTTTTATCGGACATTATCATATAAATAGACAAGAAAATACCATTGCAATAAACATAAATGAGAACTATATATAATGCTGACAGCTCTGTCCTCTTGTTCAACCTTAATACTGTACAACCCATGTTATACTGTTCCCCATTATACTTATGTTTTTCAATTCCACTGTAATTTATGTATACTTATAATAAAAAATAAATAGAATAATAATAAATAAATAAAATGAATAAATATTGAAGTGATAACCTTGGTAACATTATGCGATGTTCTTATTACCACCATGCTATTGTACTATTCCAGATGCTACTAAATGCTACATAATACTTCCTTGAGATAAATATATAGTATATATCAGGTGCCTAAAAGAGAGCTCAGGTTTTCAACTGGCTCAGCCATGTTAATATTGTTATTATTATCCACTCTGTATCTGTGTTTTTTCTGGCTAAATAAACTGTTTTAATTCAATTCAATTTAATTGATATTTTGTGAGGTTATCGTTGTCGGGTCTCCAGGTAAAGCGAGGTCGCCCTCTGTGGGTACACTGTGTGAGATCATGTAATTCACCCCCAAACGTGATACCCCTTCTCTCAGCTGCCTTTTCAAACTATCAAAGATTGCCCTTCTGAAATCTGAGACTTTAGTGGCATTTTCCTTGTGACCGACATTAAATTATAATTTGAATCTCACTTCTTTGTGATCACTGTTTGCTTGTTCGTTCCCTACCTCGACATTACGAATGAGGTTTTCTCTGTTTGACAATTAAATCTAGTATATTATTACCCCGGGTGGGTTCGGCTATAAGTTGATTGAGGAAACAGTCCTGAATTGTTTCAAGGAAATCCTCCGATTTTGAGTTACCCATAAGGTCGGTCCAATCTATTTGACCAAAGTCGCCAAAGTATCTCAAGACGTGTTAATTGGCTAGCATTTCGGACACGACCTGATCTCGCGTTTGATCTGTGTGATATATCTTGCTCAGTCAAGAATGCTAAGGTGACTGATTAACAATTAGCTGCAAAGATTAATAAGAAAGCACAGTCCAGACGAGTGTGTAAGGAGTTTACAAATTTGGATCTCACCAAGAACGCAATTGTTGTCTTCAGTGATGCAAGCTATATAAACTTACCTGATGGGTCATCCCAGGGCGGCTACGTCATATTCTTGCTCGATTAAACTGGAATATGTGCGCCACTAATATGGTTGTCCACTAAAATCAGACGTATAGTGAGAAGCACACTGACTGTTGAGTGCTTGACGCTGCAGGAGGGAGCTGATAATGCCGTCTTGAGTGTCCTCCCTTTTTTGGAGATTCTGTATGGTCTCACTAAAGCCATTAAAATAATGTGCTGTACTGACAGCAAGGGTTTGTACAGTTCGTTTTATTCTACTAAGGCTGCCCAGGGAAATTAGGCTAAGAATAGATATTCCTAGGTTGCATGAGATGATAAACAGCGGGGAACTGTCTCAGGTATGTTGGGTTGATAGGATGGAGGAGTTGGTTGAATGTTTGACTAAGAGAACTGCGTCTTTCTCATTTCTGTTGGGTGTTTTACACAAGACACATTCTAACTTAGTGGCGTATGTCATTATTATGTTATGCCTACGTGAAGTTTACTGTTATTCAGCTTATTTGTATGTATGTATGTTCTACATCGTTATTACATTAACGAAATCATATTTCTTGCTCTGTTTCATAATTCATAATTGCAATTGGCAAGTAAAAAACCTGTATGTATTCTTTTGGATATCTTTTGGATTAAAGAAACGAAGAAGGGGAAGATTGCTATGTCTTGTTTGCATTACTTGTTGTTTATTGCATGATATTGTATTGATGCATGGTTTAGGTGTTCCAGGTGGGCTTAAAATATATTAAGAAGCCAATGAACTGTGTTTTGATTTGATCATCTCCCTCACCTGCCTTTGGATCTGCCCTATCATGCCTGTCCAGGAGTCATTAGGCTGCTTCACGCCCCACATCCCGTCAGGCGGGGGAACCACCTCGTACCTGTAGAGGGATGCATTGATGTAACAAACAGTAGCAGATCAAAAAATTTCCTTTTGGGATGTACGAACTACCATTCTCTTGACATAACACACACACACATTGCAGCTCAGAATCAAACAACATAAGTACAATATCAGAACAGCATCTGAAAGCAGTGCCCTGTTCGTTCATGTTAGGAATAATAATTATCCCATTGCTTGGGAAAAAAGCTTAGAAGTATTCGAATCATCTTGTGTCACAGAAAGACTTCTGGTTGAAGCTAGTTTGATTAAGGAATTAAAATCAATAAACCTTAGCGATGGTCAGTTCAAAACTGATAATATGTTACATAAATTTATTTGTCAGTGGCCCAAGGTTAAAAATTATTTGAAAACCTTGGATCTAGATGTATGATAGCTATTTAGTGGGTCCCTTATTTTTGACCTGACCTGACAAGTCACGTCGCCCCCTTCTCTTAAGCTCCTCTACGTGTGTGTTGGTGTTGGTGTGGGGATTATTGGATGACATCATTATGACCTGACCTCATGTTTAATAAGGTAACCCTGTATATTTAAGCTTCTCTCTGTCCATGTAATCCAGTTGCCTCTGAAGATGTCTTGAATAAAGACGAAAGCTAAGGTGCTCCGTTGTTTCCCTTTTCCCGTGTGACTTTATCAAGATTTATCTTATCCACGTTTTCATTGTAGACCTACCAGCATGAAATATATATATGTATATATATATATATATATATATATATATATATATATATATATATATATATATATATATATATATATATATATATATATAATATATATATATATATATATATATATATATATATATATATATATATATATATATATATATATATATATATATATATATATATATTTCATGTAAATCCACAATGAAAACGTGGATAAGATAAATCTTGATAAAATCACACGGGAAAATGGAAACAACGGAGTACCTTAGCTTTCGTCTTTATTCAAGACATCTTCAGAGGCAACTGATTACATGGACAGAGAGAGGCTTAAATATACAGGGTGACCTAAAAACATGAGGTCAGGTCATAATGATGACATCCACTAATCCCCACACCAACACAACCGTAGAGGAGCTTAAGAGAAGGGTGGTGACGTGACTAGACAGGTCAGAAAAAAGGGACCCACAAAATAACTGTCATACATCAAGATCAAAGGTTTTCAAAGCAGTTTTAACCTTGGGCCACTGACAAATAAATTTATGTAACATATTATCAGTTTTGAACTGACCATCACTAAGGTTTATTGATTTTAATTCCTTAATCAAACTAGCTTCAACCAGAAGTCTTTCTGTGACACAAGCCCACACAGGTAGACAGTTTCATTCACTTTTTATCCAATCACCTTGAGTCTACCAAAATGTCAGTTTTTTCTGCTATGTTCCTACGATGTCTGCGTATTTGTGACTCTGAATTTATTGACGACGAATTTAAACACATTCGTTCTATTGCACAGAAACTTGGGTACCCTTCTGTGTTTGTTGATCGTTGCTTTAAAAGGGCTAAAAAATCCTTTCATTCCTCTGTAACCAGACAAGTTCCTACACTTAAGAATATTTTGACTCTGCCCTATCGTGATGAATTTGTCCCTTTAGTTCGGTCCCTCAAGCTTCTAAATATTAATGTTGTTTTCAAGTATGACTCAACCATTACCAATATGTTAATAAGGAATAGCCCAAGTTTGAATGTAAATGGAAGTGTTTATTGTATTCCATGTAGCCAATGTAATTGTAATTATGTAGGTCAGACAGGAAAAACACTGCAGCTCAGAATCAAACAACATAAGTATAATATCAGAACTGCATCTGAAAGCAGTGCCTTGTTCGTTCATGTTAGGAATAATAATCACCCCATTGCTTGGGAAAAAAGCTTAGAAGTATTCAAATCATCTTGTGTCACAGAAAGACTTCTGGTTGAAGCTAGTTTGATTAAGGAATTAAAATCAATAAACCTTAGTGATGGTCAGTTCAAAACTGATAATATGTTACATAAATTTATTTGTCAGTGGCCCAAGGTTAAAACTGCTTTGAAAACCTTTGATCTTGATGTATGACAGTTATTTTGTGGGTCCCTTTTTTCTGACCTGACCTGTCTAGTCACGTCACCACCCTTCTCTTAAGCTCCTCTACGGTTGTGTTGGTGTGGGGATTAGTGGATGTCATCATTATGACCTGACCTCATGTTTTTAGGTCACCCTGTATATTTAAGCCTCTCTCTGTCCATGTAATCTAGTTGCCTCTGAAGATGTCTTGAATAAAGACGAAAGCTAAGGTACTCCGTTGTTTCCATTTTCCCGTGTGATTTTATCAAGATATATATATATATATATATATATATATATATATATATATATATATATATATATATATATATATATATATATATATATATATATATATATATATATATATATACAACAAAGAAGTATGTGTGTTTGTTTGTCAACACGAAAATCTCGGAACCTACTTTACTGATCTGTAGTGATGATGGATGGTGTTATATGTAGTGATGATGATGGATGGTGTTATATGTAGTGATGATGGATGGTGTTATATGTAGTGATGATGGATGATGTTATATGTAATGGCTAGTGCGACTTGTGAACAGGGCTCTGCCCTTCTGAGGGCCGAGTTGGAGAGGGCCAAGGAAGATATCCTGAAATTAAAAGAAGAGATAGCAAGGATGCAGGAAGAAACGAGACAAGGGAAGCAGGTGAATGACGAAAACTCAAGGGAATGGAAGGTTGTAAGGAGAGGGACGACCAAACTGGTGGTGAGAAATGACACAAAGGAAACGACAACAACAGCTAAGTGTACCAACTCTTTCATTCCCTTGATAGACGAATTGGACGTTAGTACAGTATAGTCAGTATGATTGTTGGCGACTCACAGGTAAGGTACATGGACAGCTTTTTGAGGTAAAGATAAAAATAGAATGAGGGTGTGTTTGCCAGGAGCTGGGGTGGGGGATATAGTTAGGCATAAACCCATTATCTGCCTCAGTGCAGGGGGCAATGATATTGGCCGGTGTAGGAGTGAGGAGCTTCTTGATAAGTTCAAGACAGCTATAGAACGTGTTAGGTCTAGGGGAGGGATCCCTATCATATGTGGGGTCCTGCCTAGAAGGAGATTTGGCAGTGAATGGTTGTCAGGGGCAGTTGGTGTCAACGGCCGTCTTGACAGATATTGCAAGTCAATATCAGTCCCATTCATTGACAACTGGGACAACTTCTACGGCAGAAGGGACCTTTATGCATCTGTCAAGGAATGGAGTGGCTACCCCGGCTGGGACTCTCGAAAGGGCAGTCCAAAAGATGTCGAAGTCTTTAAACTGCTAGGGGAACATGTGAGCATAGGGGTGGAGGAGACTGCAGTGGGAGCGGGTAAACAAAGTGAAAGGTTACAGGGAAATAGTGTTAGGAATGACGACAAAACTAAATTAGACAGCGAGTTAAAACCTAAACGCGGCAAAGGGAGGACTCAGAACATGACTAACTTAAATGTCTACACGAGCAGTAGAAGTATGAGAAACAAACTGGATGATATTATGGCCTTGGTATGTACCGAAAAAATCGATATAATAGCATTCACTGACACATGAATCAACCTAGACTCACGTGAGTTACCTGTCGAATACCAAATTGCAGGTTACAAATTATTCCATACTGATAGTCAGATTAGGAAAGGAGGAGGAGTAGCAATCTATGTCAGGGATAATCTGAAGTGTGAAATAAATACGGAAATAAAAACCGAGCGGAATACAGAGACAATTTGGATAGAATTAATCGACGTTAGGGAAAAATTAATCACAGGAGTAATATATAGATCTCCCAATCTTGATAGAGTTAATGAGCGACATATATGGGATGAAATGCGCAGGACTTCCATACACAACAAAGTCTGTATAGTAGGCGACTTTAACTTTGGCCAAATAGATTGGATTGACCTTAAGGGTAACTCAGAATCAGGTCCCTTCGCAACCGAGTCATCCGCGAAATACGCACTGCAAAGAAGTCCCACTACCTAACCAAACTACAACACCTGAAGCAGACCAACATCAGTCAATGGTATGGTAAGCTTAAAGAACTCTGTAGACTAAACAATAAGACACACCCCCTCCCCTTCCTTAGCCATCTCACTAATGTTGACGCAGCTGAGCAATCAAATAACCATTTCGCTACGATATGCCAGACGCTCCCCCGGCTTTACACAACCAATCTCCCTGCTTACCTACCAGCCCCCTTTCCCACTGACTTAGTAGAAGAATTTGAAGTAGCAAAACGTCTGGACAAACTAAAATTAAAACGCTCTACCACCCCCATTGACTTACCAATGAAACTCTACAATGAGTTCTCCCCGGAGCTTGCTAAACCCCAATGCTCCATCATCAATGCGTCTCTCAGACAAGCCAGATGGCCAGCTGACTGGAAGATCTCTTATGTTTCACCAGTGCCCAAGTCAACCAGCCCACAATCCTTAAATCAGCTACGACCTATTGCAATCACCCCAATACCCAGCCTAATCTGTGAAAGTTTTGTGTTCGACTAGGCTTATGCTGATATTGCAGGAGACGTAGACCCTCAGCATTTTGGCAATATGAAAACTTCCTCCACCACTCACTGTCTTGTCAGCTTTCTCGATTACATATACCGCCATCTCGAGAAACGAAAAACGTCTGTAGCTATCCCCTAGTCGACCACAATATAATCATCAACAAAGCTATTGACCTCAGGCTTCGGAGAAGTCTTATATCATGGCTTACAGACTTCCTCAGTGACCTACGCTAAGCTGTACGCTTCCGAGGGGCTGTCTCCACCTTTCAGTCACTCACCTGTGGCGTCCCCCAAGGCACCAAGATAGGACCACTCTGCTTCCTTATGCTTATCAATGATGCCCTAAGAGAAACCCCCGCTCGCTGGAAATATATCGACGACTCCACCATTGGGATCAGTGTCTACAATTCTGCTCCCGAC